TTGTTTTTATTTATTTAAATAGAATAATTCGCTTTATATTATCATATATAGATGAATTTGATAGTAGAATTTTTCATTTTTTTTTTTCTTTTAGTTATTTCTCATGAAACAACTGATGATGAGGCACAACAACATGTTACTTATCTTTCATGTTTGGTAGATTTATCCAATATAACTGAATTAGAATTTTCATCAAAATATCGTACATATCAATGGAAAAGTATTCAATTGATTTTACAGTAAGTATCCTTCAAATATTTCTAGAAGATATCTCATGTTCTAACGAATAATAATCATTGGTATTAAATCTAAGTATAATAAATAAATTGTTTTTTTTTTAGAGCATGTCCAAATGTGATTGGTATTAGAATTAGTACTCGATTATTGATGTTATCAAAATTAATCGATAATCCAATACTTATTCCAATATTCAAACAAATCAAAATGATGAAATTAATAAGAGACAAAATTTATTTTCCTTCAAATTTTGCATCAAAATTTGTTCAGCGTTTTCCATCACTTAATGATATTGAACTTCAAGTATTTTCATTCGATAATTGTGTGTCTATTATTAATATATTTCTTACTTATCTTGAAAATTTATATTATGTTAAAATCAATTATTCTCAAGATACGTTATTCGATGATCCTTTTTCACGTGATTATATTATTAAAAATCGTCGACGCAGTTTCCCTGGTAATATTGTTGATGAAGAAAAAGTCATTGTAAAAAATAATGGAGAAGTGATACAAATTTGGTTAATATGATTTTGGATACATAGATTGTTATTTTTTGTTGTTTAAATAAAAATAAAATAATTATGAAATGCAAAAAGGTTTCTTTTCTGTAATTTTTATTTGAACTGACAAAGACTATTTCTCAGTGTCGAATAGTTTGGAAAGTTAGTTAAAACTAAAGTCAATATTATAGATTTTTTTTTGGGTTGTTTTTAAAGTAGAATTTTTGATGAATAATTGTTAAACAGTTTGAAGACATACTTTATTCATTTTTTGAAATGATAAATATAAAAATCCGAGGAAATTTTGGATAGTGAACATGATTATTTATGATGCTGAAAAGATGAATTTTAATGTTAATCTATCTTTATGTCGGTATTTTTTTATCAAATATTAACCAATAGTTTTTGATCGATTCTCTATATTGTATACGTTTCTTGGCAGTTAATCAGAATGAGTTGTGTTTTCTTCTGCAACAATCAACTTTTCCATGTTGTAGTTTTATGAATTCTTTTCTAATAATTTCTAGACATTGTTACTCATTGAAAGCTAATACAAACTTAAAGATCTTCAGTTGTCATCACTGTCGATCAGAAACAGTGTTATGACTGGATAGAACCATTAGAATAACCGCTGGATCTTAGATCGGCTATCTATTTTGATTTAACAAATATTCATGTATGTATATGTATATATTCCTTTCATATTTGTTATGTTCATTTATTCGATATTTTCTAGATCTTAACCTAGTCATTCGTCATCTAAAATAATTGCTTAATGCAATGAGATTATGACGAATCAAACACCATACTAAATTATATCTTGTTCAACAAGTGTGAGACAGGAAATTTTCGGTGTTGAATACTAAAACAAATACAGTATATTTTATCATAAAAAGTAACATCATGACAAATAAATAAAAACATCTTATTCTTGCTAATCATTTAGTTAACGTTGATCAATATGTGCTTGAAAAAGATATGCCATGTTTAAATTCTATGGGTGACTGATCCATTCTTATTTTTGAACATTGAAAAAATCAATTCTTCGTTTTAGTTATAATAGTTATCAAGCTATATTAATAAAAAGCGAAAAACTCAAGTGGGAAACAGCGAACTCCAATCCCTTGGAGTTCCTTAGAATTCCATGGAGTCCAATAGAGTTCTCAAGAGTATCATGAGTATACCTTATGGCTGTTTAGAAAATTGTTTTATCAAGCTTTCTTTCATCAATTTGAACATTGGAAAGAAAATTTTTTTTTTCTGAAATATATAAACCTTTGCTAAAACACTTTTTTTTTTTGCCAAATTCTGTCTATATCAAACTAAACACATTCTATAACTATCCCTTGGATAAAATAGCGCTTCTATTCGATTGAGAAGGAAAAGAAAGTTGTAAAAGCAAGAGATATTTTACTTTATTAGTTTTTGTTCATCTAAATGACTTAAATCAATTTGTCGTTCATCAATTGACATTAGCTGTTAGTACAATAGCAACTAGACAGACTGTTTTTATGCAAATATTTAATATCGCAATTTTATTTTAATCTTCAAATACGAATGTTTTCAAAACGGTTTAAACAGCTCTCCATCGAAATAATTACTTTCCTTTGAATTTCTTATTTCTTGCACATTATTTTCTTCATTCTGTCTCGCTTTTATGATCATCATTCAAAGGCTAATTGTTATCGTCAGGATATTGTTATAGACGTGAATATACACGACCATGGAGTACGAAAATAAAACTTAATTTTGAATGCTTATTTAAGTAAAACTTGTTTGCCTATACTTACGAATATTTGGAAACTCAAATTAGTTTTTTGTAGGAATAGTCACTAAGGCAGCGAGTATGCATGAATATGTCTTGATTGATACTAAGTGGGTCTCATTAATAGATAGAGAGGAACTCTTTATTATGTGTCTTACTAAATTTCGGCAGTTTGTCTGAGAACTATGAGGTTTTTTATCGTCCATCAATGTTACACTTGTACATCAAATAATTGAATTTTGCAAACATTCACAAAAAAGAACAGATGCTTACTGTAGCTTTCAAATTGATGATACGGATTCTCATTTGAATATCCGTTAATGATATGATAAAAATGTGAAAGTCAGCACTGTTCACGTTCCCATCAGTCGTATTTTCATCAATTTTAAAATCATTAATATTCTTTTCGATGCATCAGTAATGACAAAAAGTCAGAAAATTGTTATAACAATCGTATCATACACAGAAACATATATATATAAACAAAATAATTTTGAAGTAATACTTTTGTGCAAAGAAAGTAGAAAAAAGTATCAAACTCTAGTTCTCAGAAGAAGCAAGTCTTATCGACTTGAATTTTTCATTGTTTGTAAGAGCACACTCTGGAGAAGAAATTTGCCTGACAAACATTTTTAAAATTATTTCCGTCGAATAGTATATGACTATTTTGGCGTTTGATATTAAAAAAGGTGTTTATTAGACCAAAACATTTACTTCATAATAATATTATTATTTTACTATTTTAAACAATATAAGTTTTATATTACCAAATTAGAAATAAATTTAAATCATTTGATAGAGCTAAAAAAACTCTATATGTGAGCATGATTTAATGGAGTCTTGATAGATGATTGCACTGAAGAAGGGTATAGAAAGTCAGATTATGAAGAGAACTTGAGCGCTACTCTCATTTTAAGCACAAACATGCAGGATAATCTGATGCATCTTACTAAAAAAACGATTTGACATTCTTTCCATCTCTTTTGTATTACATTTAAGGTTTTCATCTATCTCAAAATCAATAACAAAAAAAAGGACTAGAACCAAATAAAATTTTTATATCTGGAATTGTACTGTTTTTTTTTCTTGTTTCATTCTTTCTTTACCTATCCTAATACATTCAGATGTATTTTCTTTCAACACTTCTTCTCATTGCCATCATCTGATATTTTTCTCCTTTTATATCTCGTACAAAATTTACATCGACTAGAGTAGTGTACATTTGTTCGAATTTTCGTTTTTAGAGTTTTGCTGCATTATGGGTATAGCTTTATCATCATACCAGATGTGAACATATAAGTGAAACGATCTTTCTGTGGCTGAATATCTAGGAGAAACTTCGACAATGCTGGTTCAAATCTCTCTAAAATTTTTCACAGTTCAACATGTTATTTGCCATTAATAATCATATTTTGACAGAAAAACATATGAATCAGTTAGCAGGAACTGCGGGACTCCAAATGTGTTTGGAGTCTCGTGGAGTTCTGAAGTCCCAGAGTCTGCTGTTTATCCCTTGCACTCCCCACACCCTTCAGAAACAAACTGATATGCGTTGATAGAGTTCTCATAGTGATGAATTTTATTATGGCTACGTTTCACTTTGTTCCTCACAGTGATCAGCTGATAGGTGAACTTGTAGCTTTTTCAATTTAAATCGAGCGAAAAATCTTTGACTCCTAGAAAACGTGAATACCTTCAGAAAAACGTAACTCATGACAAATAGTAAATTCGATTATTCATTTTTTACACACTATCGTTTTGTCTCCGAAGCTCGAATTTTCCTGCTTCGCACCGTATTCCGTATTCGAGTCGAAACTTGAATACCATCTAGTCTTCTTTCGAACTGTCAATGACTTATTTTAATGATGCTCCCATGAACAAAATGGCATGAAAAAAAAACAAGTCCACACTTGTCCTATAAAATGACGGTGAGAAATGACAACTTCTTTAATTCTACGATGAACATGTGTTGGAAAGATAATATTTTTATCAGTGGAAGGAGACTTTCCTTTTCATTACAAACACTTTATGATTCGAACAAGGCGAGAAAAAAAGAGGAAGACTTGCCCGAAAGATTCACAATTTTTTTTTATGAACTCGTCAAAAAAATCTTTTAATATGACAGTTAATTATAATTAGATGCCGTCTGAGAAGATATGTTTAGCAAGTCTGCAAAAAGAATTGCGAATTCATTATGTGAATATTTCTCTTCTTTCCTTGCTGTATTTTATTTATGAATGTGTCACTAATACAAATTATTTCCTATTACTCGGTAAAAAATATATTCCTTTCAGAACGTATTTATTATGAAATATAAATGTCGATATTTTCTACTATTGATTTTACGTCCTATATTACATTGTTATAATGCTCAAATTTGCTTTTATACGTTGTTAGACATTCTGTACTTAGAAAGATACCAAGGTCCTATATTTCAGTCTTTGTGTATTATAACAAATATCAATTCAAATTATCTTGATAATATCCTATTGTATCGCGCAGGTGCTTAATGGGAGTAGGAATCAGTGGTATTGATATGCAATCTGTTTGGGACCCGAATGAGCTGTGACCCAGCTGGAGTGGGATTGGTGCATGTCTAATCGCAGGATATTTTATTTTTTCATTGAAATTGTATTTTTTCAAATATTTATTATTATCCATGTGGAAAGAATATTGTTTTTGAACCGTTTTTTTTCACTATTAAACTGAATAATCAAATTGATGTAATTATTCTTTATCTATAAAAATCTACTTAAAATTGTACAGAGTTTCAATGATGAAAAATTTATTCATATCTATTCAAGATCTATTTTCTATGTATTTTCATAATGAATAGACCGTCCCAGATCAATGATTCTGGTGACTGTACCCGTAAATTTCTAATTGGAAACGGTCCGTATTTCTTCCTTCCATAAACATGCAAAGCAATTATTGAAATAAATCATATAAGCATTATCTATATCTTATTTTCAAGTTTAATTAGTCTGTTATTTTTTTTTAATATAGCATAATGTTATCTGTACATTTAAAAAAGCATTCACAAGACATACAATATATCCCGTAATATATCACGGTAAGAGAACAAATAATTTTGTTGATGAGTTTTTTCGTCATTACGTAAACATTCAGAAGAAAATGAAACAAAAGAAAAAATTTAACATTACATACAGACAATAAGCCGACATAAGCATAAAGAACAAAAAGAAAAAAGAAAAACTACATTCTACAACAATCCATCATGCACATATTTTTACTGTAATAAACAATTATTTCTTCACACAACTCCAATAATGAGTGTGTTGATATAACGAAAAAAAAAAAACAAAAAAAAGAAAAGAAAAGAAAAGAATTCTACCATTCATCAGAAAGTACATTTCGTACACGAACAACATCTGACCACATATTATCACGCATTGACCATAGAGCTTCATAAACATTATTATAAAAACCGGGGCTATTATTTATTAGCCAATGTGATGGTAATGGTCTTGATGATATATTTCCATTATTATTAATTGATGCTTTTAATTGTTTAGGCCAATCGGATATAAATGGATAATCAGTTTTAAGATGTTCAATATACTTTGAATACATTTCTGAATGAACGACTCTTTGTATTCGTGGTGGACAATTAACAATTGCAGCTTGTGGTGGTTTTATAACAACAGGAAGAACATTATTCATTGGATAAACATCTAAAATTATTTATAGATTAAACACTTTGGTTTTTTTAAAACTTTTTATTTGAAAATAAAAAAAAAACACATACTTGAAACATTTGGATAATATCCATTTATTGTTACTCCACCATTAATTATTCGTTGTGAATTAATAGGAGAATCATATGTCATAGGATTATTTGTTACTTGTATATCTTGCTCTCTTGCACGTTCACGTGCTTTTTCTTCATATTTTTCACGTTCATGTGGCAATAATCGTCTCCACTAGATATAATTATAATTTAAAAGTTAATTAAATCGTTTGATATATTTTTGTTTTCTTAAAATATTTACCTGATCACCAATTATTCGACTCATTTCACCAAATGGAATACCTGGATTATCACGTATCAAACGTTTTCGTGAGTCACTTGCAAATATAAGATAACCACAAGGTGGACGTGTTGATGATCCACGACGATTACTTTTCTATTTACAAAACAAACAAAAAAAATTATAATAATAGAAAAATTCTTTACGAGGATAATCAACCAAGTGAATGATTTCTTTTGAGTCGAGACTATACTGTAAAAATACAGCATTACTGCAGCAATAATAAGCTAACGACTCATACTATTCATAGCTAATTAGCATCTACATAATGTACATAGTCTCGAGTTAAAAGCGATTTATCAATTGAAAGACTTTCTTCATTAATCTTTTATATTTACTTACTCGATTATTATTATTATTATTGTTATATCGATTAGAGAATGATGAATTAAGATTAATACTATTATTGATTGTATCATAATTCAAATGATTTGATTGATGTTCACTTCCTTCGAGATTACTATTGAATTGATCATCCACTTCCATAGCTGAACTTTCATCAACTGCTTTGAATAGACCACCAGGAGTCTCCTTAAAAATAAATAAAAAAAAATCAAATATTAAATTATATTTCTGTTATTAGTGTTCTTTCAATTCAATTTTATCTTGTGAAAAAAAAAGAAAGAAAGAGAAGATAATACTTCTTTTGTCGAAATATGTAGAAGAAAAGTAAGACAAAAAAAAAATGTTAACAATTATTACTTGTTTGAGTATAAGTTCTTTACGAAAAGTCCAGATTTCATCAGCAGTTGCTTTTAATGATAATGATATTCTCTAAAGAGAAATAAAGTAAATCATTAGATTATATTATCTTTAAGATCTTACTTTCAAAGGTTTTGATAAACCACGAAGACTATGATCATCACTAACATATTTTGATTCACAAACATAAACATCCGATTCAGGAATTTCAGTTAACCGATCTAAATATAGTGGTATGTTATTATATTAAAAAAAAATCTCGAAGTAAAACTTACGTGTACAGAAATGTTTCAATGAAAGAACTGAACATTTGCCTTGAATATTATTAAGTGTAATTTGTGTACTTGGACCATCACGTTTAATAACTTCTCGTTCATAAGAACATTTTGCTGTAATGATTAATTGATCTCGATTGATAATATCTGATGGTTGAATAAACACTGGACCACTTAGACAATACGAACTTAAGAAAAAAAAAATTTCTCTATCAATATGCTTGTAATAAATATGTTCGTAAGGACAAAAAGTCTAATCGATTTCATTTCTGATCGACACTTTCTTACCAGAGAATCTTACAACATGATAATTTATATTTGAGATAACTCTTATCTCATTCGATAGATGCTATTAAAATTAAACATAACTTAAAAGGATTCATATCTTTTTCTCTTTAAGTTATGATCATTTTCGTAAATTTTGTTTTTTTCGAACGAAATATCATGATCTCCCTCAAATCACTTTCGAATTTCAAGTTCAAACATTGCAGAAATTAAGTTCTTCATGAGACTAGTTAATTCTGAAAATCTGGGATCTTCTATTCTGATATAAAAATAACAGTTTGTTCCATATTTATATATAACGATAGAAGATACGGTAGAAATATCACGATTTCCCACGAGATTATGAAAAATTTTTCAGACAATTCGACATTTTTTGGAACGAAAAGATTCCTTCCCTAATCAATAACTTTGGTCTAGTAATAAAGCCTAAATATTTCATTATACTTCAAGTATCAGTGAAATACGATGAAGTATTAGTATTTTATTGTCACACAAACTTATATAAAATGAACTAAAATTAATATGCTCGTGACACATGTTAATAGTAGACTTGACATAGCTAAAAAAATTCTAGAGGATAGCTTTGACATACGCTCGGAGTACGGAATTTTCCCCCTTAGTCATACTTGTCTTGAAAATAGTTTATTATTAACTGAGGTTCTTTGTTGTTTCGTCAAGCAGTTATCCGGAGATAGACCGATTTAAGTTGGGATCGTTCTCATTAAGAAAAAATCGTGTTTTCGATTTGGGAAAATTATTTCTTGCTTCGAACATTTTTCTTTTTTGGCACACGTATATATTATTCAATATTCTTCTAATGACAGTTTTTTGCATATAAATGTTTGTCGAAAATTTTTTTTGAACTTACTCATTATCTTTCCAAATTTTATCAATACGAAGAATAAATTTTTTATTTGATTCATTATTATTATTTTCAATATTATTAACACACACAAAATCGCCAACTTTGTAAAAGATATATGGTGAAATAATAATTTGTTCATAAAATATTCTTTTTATTAATGAATTTTCATTTAATTTTTCATTTATAACTGAATCATATAAAATTGTTTCTTTAGGTTTTTCAATTATATCTATATTTATTAAATCATTATCTATTGTTGATGATCGATGTATTAAATTATTATTATTAACTAATGTTGATGATATACGTATATTTTCGAGTGGAATATCTCGTTGAATTAATTTAACTCGTTTATTTTCTGGTATATTCCATGATTTGATTTTTTTAAATACTTTTGTTTTTATATTATAACGTGATTCACATACATAAACATCTTGATCTTGAAATGATATTTCATCATTAATCATTGGTTGATATTTAAAATAATCTTTAACATGTAAAACATAACATAAACCTTGAATTTTATTCATTGATATATATTCAATTGTTTGAGTTAAAAAAACTTCTTGACGAAGAAATTTATGTGTTGATGTATGATATGTTTCATTAGGTCGAATAAATTGTAAACCATTTAAATAATCTTCATTATTTTTATGTTCAAAAGATTCAATACAGACAATAAGTGGTTCATTTGTTTCATCATTAGGTTCAATATAGACGAAATCTCCTAGATAATAAGTTTGACCTTTGGATAGGAAACTTTTTTCTATTGGTGATGTTAATTTTGATGGCTAAGAAAAAACAAAAAGAATAAAGTTTAGATTAATGTTCAATGAAGAATAAACTGGTATACATCTAAGAGGAGCGCTACTATAAGCACATATAGAAGAGTTTAAAAGTATCATTTATATAGGATTTTTCTAGTTATAAAGAAAATACATATATATATAGAATACTAGTTTTTATTAGAAAACATTTTTTTAAAAGTCTACTTCTAAATGACAGAGTTCGAACATAACTTGTGCTTATAACACTAGATGATTTTAAGTTGCAAGAGAGTGCAAACACAGTTTCTCATTCCTCATTATATCAATGAAAATGTTTGCTTTCGATTACATATAATCTCTTCTCATGCTGTAACTCATTCCTTTGAGGTGAGTATGATTGTAACTTGTCAAGCAAATCCGACTATTTGCATTGCGGTCAAAAACAGTATTCAAAATTCTTCATGAATTATTTATCAGACGCAGCTAAGTCTTCATCTATTCATAATATTGATAAGTTCTTTGTATTACGATCTTGCACTAATGCAACTTTTCGTACTGAACCCAGACGTTGGATACCTGACTAGTACCCATCGAGTCCGAAAATTTTAGACCCGGGCAAACTCTACATCTGACTCAATTGTAGAATTCTACTCGGTATAATCAGTACTCATCTTATCATGTCAATACTGAAGTAAGAAACAAGGAATAGCTACATGTTACTGTTAGCATATGCATACTCTATTATACACGCTAGTGATAGGTTTTCTAGCAATGTCTGAGATACTATTTTTCTACGATCTTAAAAATCGATCTTTTAAAATCGAACAAAGATCAATTTCAATTCATTTTGTTAAGTACATAAACAAACTTACAGAAATTTTATTTTCATCAGAATCAGATGATTTAGCTGGTGATACACTGTTCTGACTATTAGTACTAACTATTGAATCTTTTTCTGTTCGTTCACGAACAAGTTCTTGTTGTAAACGATCTTCATTAAATAGAAGTGCTGGTGATCGAAGTAAATTACCATGTTGACAAATTTCATCACGTAAATGAATATAATATTTTTGTAATTTAATTGAATCTTGATAAACCTATGAAAAATAAAATAATTTTATTAGAAGAAAAAAAAAACCAAGCTTACCTTAGAATGAGTTGGTTTTAATTTTCTAGCACGTTCAAAGACTTTAAATAGATCATTTTGAAAAACATCTAATCGACGATAACGTCGCTTAAAAGAAGAACAAAAATAGTTACATTGTTTTCTTTTTTTTTCTGAAAACGAACTAAATACCTGATCAAGATTTTGTCTAATCAGATCAAATGTATATACACTATCAAATCTATAAAACATCAAAAGAAAAATTTTGTTTTCCTTTTTTTTTGTTATAATTAATTCATCAATTCTCTTTCTTACGGTTCATTTTCTGCTTGTTCAGGTAATTCTGAAAATGAATCACTAACATATTGACCATCTTGATCCTATTTAAAAATACAAAATTTTATAAATTCTTAAAATTAATCAAAAATCAAAATTACTTCATAATTAAATGTTTGTATAAATAAACAAATCAAAAGTTCACAAACTAAATTTTTTACACTATCATTATGTATAAATTCTCGTTTTTTTTCAATAAATATTCTTTGAAGAGTCAATGCATCCTAAATATAACAAATAGAAATTTTTATTTTTAAATAATTAAATCAGAGATCCATAGGACTGTCTTATATTTTGTACATCTCTATCTTCTTATTACTCAATGAGCACATTTTAAAAGTGCATCAACGCTCTTCGGTATTCTTCAAAGTCGTCTCGAA